AAATGCACCGATTTAAAGTATACAACTCAGTGTTTTTAGTACATTCAGAGTTATGCAACCATCACCACTATCTAATTTCAGAACATTTTTATCACCTCAGAAAGAAGCCCTGTATCCATTAGCAGTCACACCCCACATTCCACCCCCAGCAGCTGTAGGCAAACACTCATCTTCTTTGTGTTTCTATAGATTTGCCTGTTCCAGACATATTATATAAATGGAATCACACAAGAAATGGCCTCTTAGGACTGACTTCTTCCATGTAGCATGCTTTCAAAGTTCATACGTGTTGTAGCATGCATCAGTATTCTTTACTTTTCATTGCTGTATAATCAATTGTATGGATATGTCACATTTTGTTTATGCACTCATCAATCAATAGATGTTTGTGTTGGTTTCACTTTTTAACTAGCACAAATAATGCGGCTGTGAATATTTGTATACAGGTTTTTTGTGTGGACTTATATCTTCAGTTCTCGTGGTTATATACTTATGAGTAAAATTATTGCATTATATGATAACTGTATGTTTAACCTTTTGAGTAAATACCAGACTGCTTTTTTTTGAGATGGAGTCTCACTGTCACCCAGGCTGGAGTGCAGTGGCATGATCTTAGGTTACTGCAACCTCCGGCTCCCGGGTTTGAGCAATCTCGTGCCTCAGCCTCCCGAGTAGCTGGGATTACAGGCCTGCACCACCATGCCTAATTTTTGTATTTTTAGTAGAGACGGGGTTTCACCATGTTGGCCAGCCTGGTCTTGAACTCCTGACCTCAGCTGATCTGCCTGCCTCGGCCTCCCAAAGTGCTGGGATTACAGGCATGAACCAGTGCACCCAGCCCAGACTGCTTTTCAAAGTGGCCGAATCACTTAATAATCCTACCCACAATGTTTGAGGGCTCCAACTTCTCTACATCCTTGCCAACATTTGTTATTGTCTTTCTTTTTAATTTTAATGGTCTTAGTGAGGATACAGTCGTATCTCCATTCTTTTTCTTTCTTTCTTTTTTTTTAAGAGACAGGGTTTCTCCATGTTGGTCTCAAACTCCTGACCTCAGGTGATCCACCTGTCTCGGTCTCCCAAAGTGCTGGGATTACAGGCGTGAGCCACCGCGCTCAGCCTTATAGTCGTATCTCACTGTGGTTTTGATTTGCAGTTTCCTGGTGACTAATGATGTTGAGCATCTTTTCATGTACTTATTGGCCATTTGTATATCTCCTTAGGAGAAATATATAGCCAAATCCTTTACCCATTTTGTATTATCATTTTTACTTGTGACAAAATACACAATATAAAATTTATCATCTTGACCCTTTTTAAGCGTACAGTTCAGTGGCACTAAGTACATTCACATTCTCGTGTTACCATCACGATGATCTGGTCTCCAGAGCTGTCATTTTGCAAAACTGAAACTCTTGTTTTCTTCAAGCATTCTTTGCATCTTTTATTACTACTGAGGTTAAAGATTTTCATGTGATTACTGGACATTCATATTTCTTTGTGGGACAGCTTGGTAATTTAAAAAATAATACTAATGTTTCTTCCTGATTATAATATACTTATTGTAGATACATAGAGAATATAGAAGAGTATAAGACTATAGAGGAAAATATTCATGTAATTCAAATCATAAAAACAAACATTGCTGCTAATTATTTTTACTTTTCTCTGCATGTGTTTTCTTGTAGAACTGATATTCTGGACAAATGTGTTTTAGAGTATATGTTCCCCCACTCCCTTCCTCCCTCCCTCCCTCCCTCCTTCCCTCCCTCCTTCCTTCCTTCCCTCCTTTCTTCCCTCCCTCCCTCCTCCTTCTCTCCCTCCCTCCTTCCTTCCTTCTTTCCTTCCTTCCCAGAATCTCACTCTGTCACCCAGGCTGGAGAGCAGTGGCTTGATCTCAGTTCACTATAACCTTCTCCTCCCCAGTTCAAGTGATTCCCCTGCCTCAGCCTCCCAAGTAGCTGGGATGACAGGGACATGCCACCATGCCCGGCAAATGTTTGTATTTTTAGCAGACATGATGTTTCATCATGTTGGCCAAGTTGATCTTAAACTCCTGATTTCAGGTGATCTGCCAGCCTTGGTCTCCCAAAGTGCTGGGATTACAGGCGTGAGCCACTGTGCCTGGCCCTGTTTTTTTTTTTTTTTTTTTTGTAAAATTAAATTAAATTTAATTTTAATTTCCAGGATACATGTACAGAATTTACAGGTTTGTTGCATAGGTAAATATGTGCCATGGTTTGCTGCACCTATCAACCCATCACCTAGGTATTAAGCCCAGCATGCATTAGCTATTTTTCCTGATGCTCTCCCTCCCCAAACCCCCACCCTGACAGGCCCCAGTGTATGTTGTTCCCCTTCCTGTGTCCTTGTGTTCTCATTGTTTAGCCTCCACTTATAAGTGAGAACATGCAGTGTTTGGTTTTCTGTTCCTATGTTAGTTTGCTGAGGATAATGGCTTCCAGCTTCATCCATGTCCCTGCAAAGGACATGATCTTGTTCCTTTTTAAGACTGCATGGTATTCCATGCTGTATAGGTACTACATTTTCTTTATCCAGTCTATCATTGATGAGCATTTGGGTTGATTCCATGTTTTCACTATTGCAAACAGTGAAAATGGAAACTTTTTACCATTCAGTGACAACTCTCCCTTTCTCCATCCCAGCAACTAGTTCTGCTTTCTGTCTCTATGAATTTCATTCCACATTTAAGTGGAATCAGGCAGTATTTTTCCTTTTGCGACTGGCTCATTTCACTTAGCATCATGTTCTCAAGGTTCATCCATGTTGTAACATGTGTGAGAATTTCCTTCCACTCTAAGGCTGAATGATATTCCAGTTTTTGCATAGTCCACATTTTGCTTACCTATTTATTTGTTGATGGACACTTGGGTTGTTTCTACCCCTTGGCTATTGTGAATAATGCTGCTGTGACCATGGCTGTATAAATATCTGTCCAAGCCTGCTTTCAGTTCTTTCGGGTATGTACCCAGAAATGGAATTGCTGGATTATATGATAATTTCATCTTTAACTTTTTAAGGAAGTGCCATACTGTTTTCCACAGCAGCTGAGCCGTTTTACATTTCCATCAACAGTGCACAAGAGTTCCAATTTCTCCCCATCCTCACCAGCACTTGTTATTTTCTGCGTTTTTAAAAGCAGTAGCCATTCTAATGAGTGAGGTGGTATCTTCTCATTATGGTTTTGATGATTTGCATCTCCCTAATGATTAGCAGTTGTATTAGAAAGTTAAGGCTACCGTAACAAATACCACAGACTAGGTGGCATAAACAACAGAAATTTATTTCTCACAGTTCTGGAGGCTGAGGGTCCAACATCAGGTTCTGACTGATTTGGTTCTTGGTGAAAGCCCACTTTCTGGCTTCCAGATGGCCTCCTTTTCACTGTATACTCACATGGTAGAGAGCAATCTTTCTCTCTTCCTTTTCTTATAAGGCCACCAATCCTATAAGATGAGGGTCCTATCCCTATGACATCATTTAATCTTAATTACTCACTATAAGCCCTGTCTCCAAATATGGACAAGTTGGAAGTTAGGTTTTCAACATATGAGTTTTGAGGAAACACAATTTGGCCCATAACAGTGACGCTGAGCATCTTTTCATGTGCTTATTGGTCATTTGTATATCTACTTTAGAGAGATGTCTATTCAAGTCTCTCGCCCATTTTTAAAAAGGGCTGCTTGTCTTTTGTTGTTGTTGAGTTGCAGTTCTTTATACTAAAAGAGGATATAAACCTCTTAGCAGATATGTGATTTGTAATATTTTCTCCCATTCTGTGGGTTGTCTTTTTCATCTCTTGATGCTGTTCTTTAAAGTACAAGAGTTTTTAATTTTGATGAGATCTCATTTTTCTCTTTATTGTCATGGCTAGGAAATCATCACCTAATTCAAAGTCATGAAGATTTACTTACTCCTATGGTTTAAGAGTTTTATAGTCTAAGCCCTTATATTTGGGTATATGAGTTAACTTCATTTTGAGTTAATGTTTATATACAGCGTGAGATATCCCTTTTCTTTTAATTCCTAAGAACATTGGAGTTTCAGAATGTTCTTTACTAGATTAAATGTGAAAAAATTGGTGAGTTTTTTTTTTTTTTTTTTTTGACAGAGGCTCTCTTTGTTACTCAGGCTGGAGTGCAGTGGCACAAATATGACTCACTGCAGTCTTGACCTCCTGGACTCAAGCAATCCTTTCACCTCCGCCTCCCAAGTAGCTGGGGCCACTAGGTGTGTGCCACCTCACCTGGCTAGTTTTTAACTTTTTTTGTGCATGCAGAGTCTCATTCTGGTGCTCAGGCTGATCTCAAACTCCTGGGATCAGGCACTCCTCCTGTCTTGGCCTCCCAAAATGCTGGGATCAAAGGCATGAACCACCGTGGCCAGCCAGGAGGGTGTTTTAAATTGCTGGTTTTGGGGGTCTTTTAAAAATATCACGGACTCATTTCAGACATGGGAAATCACATCTATTATATCATCTAAAATATGTTTCATTTATGATAAGCTCATTCAGTCTGTTTTATAAGCAGAGAAACCCAAACATACAGTAATGTAACAGGAATGGCTGCCAATTACACTTGAGCTAACATTCACTGAAAGATTATGAATAATATCTTGATTACAAATCAAAGCTTGGTCTCATCTTTTTAGCCCAAAATTGACTAAGACTACACAACATTTTTTAGTCTGATTAATGGTAGCATAACTAATTAGAGTGGAAAGAGATTAGCAAATCATTCAAGATGTCAAAGGCAGGCAGAATGCCATTTTGTCACAGATAATATAGTAGAGCTCATAGCGACAGGTGTGCATGGTAAGAACCAAGACTACCTAGGTATTGAAGAGTCTAGGTAATGTTTTTAATATCAGCATTATTTGGTTAGATTTGATTTTCTTCCTCTGAATTGCCATACTGCTGAATTGGCCTTTGATTTATTGACATTCTAAGATTTGGTATTGATCTTCTTTTTGCCTTGCAGGATGCAGAGAATCAAATATTAAAGACGAGTGTATGGTACCGAGAGGTAAATAATTATTTTTCCTTCTAAATATACAGGAATCCTGATCTGAATTTGCTGCAAAATGTAATTATTTAAGAAATGGGTATTATCTTTGCATTTATAGTTCCTTAGATCTGCTGCAGACCTAATTTATTATAATTCATTTAGGATGTATGGCCCTGGTTTCTGGTTGGGACTGCCATCTTTAGGATTCAGATGGGATGGCTCTCTCCTAACAGATAAAACCAAGAGCCTGATAAATTGGATTATTAATCAAATGTCTCTTTAGTTCTTTATTGAGGCAGACGTTACTCCATTTTGATGCTTTTTTTTTTTTTTGCTACTCCTAACAGGTCTGGAATGATGAATTTTTATCCTGGAACTCCAGCACATTTGATGAGATTAGAGAGATCTCCCTTCCTCTCAGTGCCATCTGGGCCCCCGATATCATCATGAATGAGTTGTAAGTGTGCCAGTGCGTATTTTTGTGGGGTTTGGACTACTTGGAATAGTCAGGCCAGTTGCTGCTTACGTTCAGTCAGTGTTGCTAATTTTTGCTTCTCAAGTTGAAGGGGAGCATGTTGTTGGGAGTAATCAGGTTAGAAGCGCCGTGTGTTGACATTATTTAAGATACGGATCTGGTTACTAATGTTGAGGTTACGTGTTACATCTGTATCGTTATAGCAGCAAATGAGTTAATGTATGAGGCTGGTGCTGAAAAGCTCTTCTTTGCCAGGGTGAATCACCTCATGGAAAATGCGATTCTGTTTGTGCAGGGCTAGGCTGGTCCCGGGTCTCATGGTCACTACCATCTCCTAATCCACTTGTCTATGTTTTGAAATGACTAACGTCCTCTCTGTGACAACAAGTTCTCTTGTGTTTCATATAGTGTGGACATTGAAAGATCCCCTGACCTTCCCTATGTTTATGTGAACTCATCCGGGACCATTGAGAACTCTAAGCCCATCCGGGTGGTCTCCGCATGCAGTTTAGAGACATATGCTTTTCCATTTGATGTCCAGAATTGCAGCCTAACCTTCAATAGCATTCTGCATACAGGTAAACCACAAGAGATACACATCCATGCTAGGTTGGTGCATGTAGGTAAAATGATATGATATTATCTTCAGGTCTATTTCATTCCTGCAGATAGTTGGTTATTTAAAAATCAAAATCTCTTCTTGCCGTTATTTTGACTCCTGCTGTAATTCAGACCAAGTATGATGCCGTAGCCCACTGCTGCTGCTGTTCTGGAAACACAGGGTCAGGCCTCCACTGCCAGGAATGATGTTATAGAAATCACAGGCAAGCTCCATCATTCTACAGAGGGTGGATTTCAAGCCTTAAATGACTTGAAACATTTCATTCCCCTTTCCTACCCTCTAATTCAAATAAGGCCAATGAGACTGTCCCTGGGGGGGCAGGAGAAAAAGGAATTCAAATTGGGAGCTGGGCAAGTGGGTTGATGTTGGCATCTCTTTCTCTCTGGGAAAGTCAATTGTTTCTGTTGTTTGCAGTGGAAGATGTAGACCTGGCCTTTCTGAGGAGCCCAGAAGACATTAAGCATGACAAAAAGGCGTATTTGAATGACAGTGAGTGGGAACTTCTTTCTGTGTCCTCCGCATACAGCATCCTGCAGAGCAGCACTGGAGAATTTGCACAGATTCAGTTTAATGTAGGTTCTTTCCTTCCTGTCCCTGCCTGCTTCTCCACAGCCTTTGGCCTTGTCTCTTGGGCCGAGGAATTTCTGCTCTATTGCATGTTCTCATTCATTATCACCCAAGAACAGGGACTTCAGTGGGCTCAGAATATCCACCTGCATTCCAGCATCTCACAGAGCAGAAGTTCAGTGGGAGATGCTGGGCCCCTGCAGAATAACACGAGAGGAGGGTATTCAGACACCAGAGACCTTGAAGCACCCTCTGCAGCAGGAGGTATTTCAACACACACTCACATTCTGGCTTCTAAATGCTACTCAGAGAAAACACAGACAACCCCACACAACAACAGCAACAAATGGGAAGACGTCTCATCAACATTATTGTCCTATTTTTTTAAATTGAGTAAATTATCAACTAATTCCAGAGGCAGATGCATAATATGATAATATTATTAACTTGAATATCTTAAGGGATTAGCCGATAAGATCCAGAGAGACCACTGGTAGCTTCAGGATCAGAGGGAACAATTACTCCCCTCAAAATTATGGTGGGAACCCACACTTCTCTGGTGCCCCCCTGGGAATGACCTAGGCTTCATTGTTCATAGGGAAATTTTTCTGGCATGAAATTGGAGAATGGTTGGGTGCGGGACAGTGAAGCCTGCTGATTTGTATTCAGGGGCAACCATTCTCCCTTCTTTGGCCCCCTAGGAAACTGTTTTGACATGTGGTCTGCAGCAGTTTCACACAACTGGTAAACCACGTCATTAGTGTTCGGCAGGGCATCCTTCTTTTCTGCAAAAAAGTCAGCTAGAAGTGGTGGTGATGAGGGGAGGGTGGTCCTTCATGCCAAGTAATGGATTTAGTTGAAAAATAGAAACCACAGGCAGGTCAGGATTGCACACAAGATGAATTATCCTAAAAGCATGTCTTTGGAATAAGAAGGAAAATTTAGAGTAGACTAAGGTGCTGTGGTGCAATGGATATACTAAGGTGTGGTGATCAAATTAACTATTAGTGACTGAGTGTGGTGGCCCACGCCTATAATCCCAAAACTTTGGGAGGCCAAGGCAGGTGGATCATTTGAGTCATTTGAGGTCAGGAGTTCAAGATTAGCCTGGCCAACACGGTGAAATCCTGTCTCTACTAAAAATTAAAAAATTTGCTGGGTGGGCCGGGCACGGTGGCTCACGCCTATAATCCCAGCACTTTGGGAGGCCAAGACGGGTGGATCACGAGGTCAAGAGATCTAGACCATCCTGGTCAACATGGTGAAACCCCGTCTCTACTAAAAATACAAAGATTAGCTGGGCATGGTGGCGCGCGCCTGTAGTCCCAGCTACTCGGGAGGCTGAGGCAGGAGAATAGCTTGAACCCAGGAGGTGGAGGTTGCAGTGAGCCGAGATCGCGCCATTGCACTCCAGCCTGGGTAACAAGAGCGAAACTCCGTCTCAAAGAAAAAAAAAAAAAAAATTGCTGGGTGTAGTGGTGTGCACCTGTAATCCCAGATACTTGGGAGGCTGAGGCACGAGAATTACTTGAACTTGGGAGGTGGAGGTTGCAGTGAGCCAAGATCCCACCACTGCATTCCAGCAAAAACAAACAAACTATTATTGAGGTTACAGGTATCCCTCCATTGGTTAAAAGTGTATACAGCTTTCCAGCAAAGCTCTTGTTAAATCTGGACCTCTGAGACACAGTTGTGGTTTGAACCTGAGTGATGTATAATGCTGGCTAGTAGCTAACTGCAACTCATACCCTCCTGCTGGTCAGCTTTGGGTTCTTACCTAGAATTCTGCTTGGTTTTAACTCACATTGTGGCCTGTTTGTCCACTTTTCTTGTGAGGAAAAGGGAAGGAAAGCAAGCAAGCTTTTTTTTTTTTTTAAATTTCAATGAGTTTCTTGGCTACGAGTAAACACCTCATTAATTTTAAAGATATCAGCCCGCAAACATTATTAATGCAGCCCGAATAATGGAGAGCATTAAAGGGAAATGTGAAGGAGCAGCACATGCAAGGTGGAACACAGTCACCTACCAGGCGCTCCTGAGAACACTGCACACACCATTACCTACACTGCACGAAGGAGACAAACACGGGCGAGGGACGGGGCAGGTAAACAAGGGTGTGTGCTTGCATGCACAAGCACACATGTTCACACGTGCACACACACACTCACACTCTCTCTCTCTCTGCATAGAGCAGCTATTACTTGTAGTTACATGTCACCCTCCTTCATCCTAAATGTTGATTCGTTTATAGTAGCTGAAGATTTTCTATATACTATGCCCATTTTAATTATGATGAACAGAGACAGATAAAAGGTTGTTTAATGGAGGGGAGGCATCTCAGAACCATGGTCCAGTTCCTCGGCTCTCCTCATTGCCATGCTTCCTCCCTGGGTACGTGTTGAAGTGGAAGTGTGTGAGGCAGGTGTGATTTGATTTCATGCTCTTGGAACGTTTCCATGGGTCCCTCTGCCCTGAGGGTGAATGTGGGTTATCTATAGCAAGGCTGGCTTCCTCCCTGGTGCTCAGGAGCACAGTAGGGAGAGAATCCTGAGTAGAGTCATATTTGGTGGGACAGGAAGTCAGAATCAGGAGCAATTCTGTAGCTTGAGAAAGTGGATTCAGGGACTATCATGGTTCTCTGCTTCCCAGCCTCGTTCAGTCTCCATGCCTCCCCATTTCTGCTCTGTGCACAGCACCCAGGCTCATTGTATTCTCTTCCTCCATTCCAGACATCCCACTCTGAATTAGCAACCAAGGCACCTGGGTTTTCTTCAACAGCCCTTGGCCGATGATGTGAAATTCAGAGCCTGATTCTGTGTCAACACTGGGCCTGCCAGGGTCCTGATAGCAAAAGACCATTTCCTCTTAATCTACTTGCCAGCTGCATCTCAGTCCAGGCTGCCCAGCAGGAGGTTGGGGACAGGTAGGGCAGGCAGGAGAAGCAATGATCTATTCTAAATTCATCATTGCCCTTGGCCTGAGGTACACTGCTGCCGTTGATACTAAATCAAGTCCTCTGGATGTCCCATGAGGTTCACCTAATGTGCAATCATAGCTGCCGACTTTGGGACATGAATTGTTTATCAGAGGACACCATGGATGCTTTGGAGTCAGGCTACATTCCACAGGGGGCCCAGAACACAGGCACTTCTTCCTACAAAGATGTCTGTGTGCCACCTGGGACTCAGTCCAGCAGCCATGGGAGGGGAGGTTTCCTCCAATATATTATTGGAGGTGCTGGTTCCCAGAAACAGTAGGGTGAGCTTTTGATTCTGCATGGCGGTGTTTTTTTTTTTTTCTTTAGAGAATGAGGGTAGAAGTGGGAGGAGGCAGAAATACAATTTAGAAACTCGTGTTGGATGGAAAAGGGTGGACAGCTGTGGAAACTAAACCAAGCCCAACCACGGATATCTTCACACCAAGTAAAGTGTTCATTTGGGCAGGAATTGGGGTGCCCACAGGGTGTCCTAGAAAATGCAAAGGGACATTTGGGAAAGAAAGGTGCTCCATTTAGCCTCTTTTTCTCTCATAATTTTCCTTTCTAGATTAGGTAGAGTAACTTTGTTGAGATAGTTATTGAATGCAGCTCATGAACTTGACAGATGATCAAGATCCTTCTAAGTGCCAGCAGATCATATGAGAGAGAGAGGGAGAAAGAATTTAGAGTTCTAGATATTTTTTCTGGGTCACTCAAGTGATTTGGGAATCACAGACTGACTTCCTGGTAATCCAGCACAGCCCATAGTCCAGATGCAAGCAATTCTGACTCCGGTGCTTAAGCGGCAGCAAAGTTCCTGCTCTCTCGGAGTTGGGAATGCTGGGAGGGGCTTTGGAGAGCAGGAAAATGGGCTTCTGTATGAAGCGGAGTCTGGGCGTCAAAATTCCAACTATGTCATAAAGACGGTCATGCAAAATTGCGTACTGGTGGGGTCTACCATCAAGGAGGCAATTAGAGGCTAACCTTGGGGCCTATTCCATCTCCAAGGAGCTCTCCACACACACATTCTGAATTAGATTGATCTCTTTCATTAACATCAATAGGCTCCAAATACCTTTGTGTACTTATTATTACCTGGCTTTAATGGATAATGAAATTGTGGCATAATATTGCTAACACCTGAAGGGTGTCTAATGGGGAACATGGACTGAAACTAAAGTGCTTTTTCTTCCCTTTCTGTGGAATTTAAAGGCACCAGCTCCTTTAGTCCATTAGAAATGATGAGCTGTGGATAGGGGCGGTTTTGCAGAGAGCAGTGTCTCACTGAGCAGGTGACATACCTTCTCCTCCGCAGAAGCAGGAGTCACTGCTTCCTGCATGATCTGTGGAGAGGCAGCCCCGAGAAGGACTGACTTCAAGAGGACAGTCCCTATTTGGGCTAACTCCACACTCCCACTGCATCGGAACTAAAAGTAGCATTATGACCAGACTCCGGTACAATTCGGTGAACATCTATCGAGTTCTTGTCATGTGCCAGGGTCCATGGTGAACACTTAGGACGTAAAGATGAATAAATGAAGGCTCCTGACAGCTATCACAGATCACAAAAATCTGCCCAGGGAGACATAATAGCACTAATCACAAAGCTGAGCACTTATTCTATGCCAAGCACCATTTTAAGAGTTTGTACCTGTAATCGCCACATCCCCAGGAGATGGATGCTTCAAGCATCTGCAACTTTACAAATAGATGAATTCAGGTGCAGAGAAGTCAAGTAACTTACAGGAGGCTTCAAGGTGACTGTTGGAGCCTGGACTTGAACCCAGGCAACTTGACTCCAGAAACTATATGCCTAATCCTATATCATGCTGACACACAGCTAAAGACAGTGCAGTATGTTCCAGTCAGTTCTTTGCCATTCACCCACTGTGCATTACTGCGCCAGTCGTGTGTATTGGTGTTACAAGGCTGCCCTAACAGAGTGCCCCAAACTGGGTGGCTCAAAACAACAGAAGTGCATGTTCTTGCAGTTCTGCAGGCTGTCAATCTGAAATCAAGACTTGGGCAGGGTTGGATCCTTCTGGACATTCTGAGGGAGAATCTGCTCCTTGCCTCTCCTCTGGCCCCTGGTGGTTGCCAGGAACACTTGGTGTTCCTCGGCTGGTAGATGCGTCACCCCCATCTCTGCCTTCTCCTTGTGTGTCTCTTCACTTCTTCTCATGACTCCAGCCACATCGGACTAAGAGCCCACCCTACTCCAGTGTGACCTCACCCTATGCTAGTACATCTTCAGTGATCTCATTTCCAAATAACATCGCATTCGGAGGTTCCAGGAAAGATATGAATTCTTGGGGGCCCTCTTCAACCTAGTAGAGGCTCCACGCGAGATTCACTTCTGCTCCATGTGTTAAATACATCCAGTCCCATCCCAACATCCCCCAAAGTTTAACCCAGCATCATTCCAGTGTCAATTCTAAGTCCAAAATATCGTCTAAATATAAACTTGAAAAGTCCCAAATCTCATTGTTTAGATTAGCTAAAGCAGGTATGGACCCCAATTACGGTCCATTCTGGGGCAAAATTTCTCCCCCCCAACAGACTTGTGAAACACTCAATCACCAGAATCCGGTTCCTGATCTTATAAGAAGGGGTAAGGGCAGGGAATAAGTGTCTTATTAATGGTACTAACTCGAGTATTTAGGAAAGTACCAGACAACCTCTTCATGCTCAATTAATGTTTATTGAACAAAGAAATTAAGGGCTCTGTTGATCCAATGAGATAAACAACAAACTTCTGAAAACTATGTGGTGAAATTAGAGATTCTTTAGGCTGCACTGGGTTTGCAGAGAATTTAGTCCCGGCCTCGCGCAGTGGCTCATGCCTTAATCCTGGCACTTTGGGAGGCCAAGGCAGGAGTTCAAGACCAGCCTGACCAACATCACAAAACCCTGTCTCTATTAAAAATACAAAAATTAGCTGGACATGGTGGCAGGCGCCTGTAATCCCAGCTACTTAGGAGGCTATCTAGTTTTATGATTCTATAAGGCCAAAAAAGTCAAGAGATGACTTTGTTTTATGTTATAGCAGAAGCGAATTGTCCACCCTCGTCCCTAAGTCTTTTCCCTCTGCCTTCATTTACTGTTGACATCCAGTGAGGATGATCTTTCTGAGAGGGTCAGCTACATAATATGCAGGGCTTAGTGAAAAATGAAAGTGCAGGATCCCTGATTCAAACAGTACTAAGAATTTCAAAATAGCACCAGTGGAGCACTAAACCAAGTGCAGGGTCCTTTCAAGAGCAGGCTCTGTATGACTACACAGGCTGCATATCTGCGAAGCCCGCCTACCTCCTAACCTCTCAGCTCTTCCCACACCTCTTCTTCAGCTGATTTCTTGGGGAACATGTGGTCTGATAAAGCTGTGCTTTCTTGGAAATCAGGGACCTTGAGGGGCCTCACCACCCATGTCCGGCTCTGCCCCAGACTTAGATTTGCTGTCATCTCAGCTTGACATAGGGACATCTCAGCTTGACATAGGTGTTCTTGACATAGGGACATTCTTTAGAGTGCAGAGCTGCTCATCTCAGTGGTACCCAAGACGTTCAGCAAGGCAAAAGCAAACTGCTTTTTGAAAAAGGAGGAAATTGAGGCACAGAGGGGTTGACTATATCACCCAGGAGGACTTAAACTCGCGCTCTGGAGCTCTGACCCCTTGATTTTTTTTTTTTTTTTTTTTTTTTTTTTGAGACAGAGTCTTATTCTGTTGCCCAGGCTCCTGTGCAGTGTCACGATCTCGGCTCATTGCAACTTCCACCTCCCTGGTTCAAGCCATTCTCCTGCCTCTCAGCCTCCTGAGTAGCTGGGATTACAGGCATGTGCCACCACGCCTGGCTGATTTTTGTATTTTTAGTAGAGATGGGGTTTGACTATATTGGTCAGGCTGGTCTCAAACACCTGACCTTAAGTGATCTACCGCCTCGGCCTCCCAAAGTGCTGGGATTACAGGCATGAGCCACCACACCCATCCTGTCTCCTTGATTTTGAGCCTGGGCTTTCTGCTTAACCAACATGCCTTCTTGTACTCTGCTTATATTTTCCTTCCCCTTCGTGTAGTATCTGCCATGAAGTCTCTAGGGAGCATTCCCATTTCTGCCCTCCAGAGTCAGCTGGCGTGGTCATCCCCTCACCCTGACCCCACAAGGCCATATCACCCATGGCCCAGAGTGGGCCACAACACAAAACCCCCATGGACTCTGGTTACCCGACTCCCTCTTTCCTGCCCCCACCTACCCGGAGCCATCTCAGTCACTGCATGATGACAGGAGGTAGAGGGGGCAGTCTGATGACAGTTATTTTTGTTGTTGCTTTTCTTGTTGACTGCACTTTGGTAGAAATGTGTTTTCTTTTTTCTGATATTATTGAGATGAAATGAATGTATTAGAAATGTGTTTTAACCAAATCTTTGCAAAGCAGTGAGCTTCACTCTGGTTTAGGTATTTGCAGCCAATTATGGTTTAATGTGAACGGCAACAGCCAGACGACAATCTGCCAAACAACTCTGGCCTGCCAAGCTCCATGGAGTCGGGATGTGCTTCCAGACCCAACGGCTGGAGAGCCCCCACTCTCATCAGCAAGGTGATGTTTCATCTCCCCCAGCACCTCCTGCTCCATCTCTGGCCTCTGCACTTCATCTCTGCCCTGGCTCATTTCTTTGTGATACTCTTCTCTAGCAGGAGATGGGGATGAAGGAGAAGAACTCTGCACTCAACTCAGAGGTCTAGTCAGGTCAAGAGCTGTAGCTATCCTGTCCTGGGAAGGAGCTGGGAATCGGAAGATGTGGGGGCACATCCCAGCTCTGTCCTTTACTCAACTTCCTCACTTAAGGGGGCTCAGCTTTCCTTTTGAAAATCTATAAAGCGGAGGCTATTGCCTACCAAGTTTGCAGTGAGGATTAAATAAATCACACCGTTTGTGTGAAAGTGTCCAGCACACTGTCTGACACGTAGTGAGCAGCTCATTGTTTGGTGAATCGGAGAAATGGGAGATTTCAAATGTTATTTTTGTCCAAACCAACAGCAAAGGGCCCAGGAATACTCATTTGTTCAATGAACATTTATTGAATACCCACTATTAGATAGGTCTTCTTTTTGGCCCTGTGGGGGATTATTGTTACTCCAGAGATGGGATGAGATGAGAGTCCAGGCCATAGTGGGGAAGCAGCCCTGCTGTTCACTCATTTCTCTTTAGGAAGGATGAGAATAGAGTATGTGCTTATTAAAGACATTTTCCTTCATCATCTCTAACACGTGAGGTATAAAAAAATGGCCACAAGTCTGGGCACAGTGGCTCATGGCTATAATCCCAGCACTTTCGGAGGCCAAGGTGAGTGGATCACAATGTCAGGAGTTCAAGACCAGCCTGGCCCAACATAGTGAAACCCTGTCTCTACTAAAAATACAAAAAAACTACCAAGTGTGGTGGTGCGGGCCTGGAATCCCAGTTACTCAAGAGGCTGAGGCAGGAGAATTGCTTGAACCCAGGAGGCGGAGGTTGCAGCGAGCAGAGATCGCGCCACTGCACTCCAATCTGGGTGACAGTGGAATAGTCCATCTCAAAAAAAAAAAATGGCAACAATAGTAGTTTTATGACTCAAATTCTAAGCTACAAGAGCCACCCAGCAGCTCTGTGTGGTTAGCACAGTGCAGGCCAGCAGGACAGTTTCAGGCGGCCCCCACTGAGACCCACTCCTTCGCCCCCCGCCTCTGTGCTCCGAGACTGAGCTGCAAAGATGGGACCCCTGGTCATGTTTGGCCAGTGGGGAGAGAGGGCGGGCTGGGAAAGTAGTGGCAGGAGATGGGAGGAGGGAGGAGGGCAAGTGAGGGTACTTAGCTCTCCATTTCCCTCCCAGTGGAGTCAACACCAGGCAGGCTAAGAGAAGCCACAGGTCTTATCTGGTAGCCTCTGTGTAGCTTTCTCTTCAGGTCTAGTCACCACTCCAGCCCTTGGCTCCTTCAGGCCTAAGGGTGATAATAGCTCACCCAGTCCCCCAAAAGCTCTGGGACCTGCCCTCCATCTTGTGGTTTCCCTATAGCCTGCTCACACCTTGCAAACAGTCTCTTTATTGAGCCCTCTTCAAACTTCCCAATTCAACTGTGCCATTTTTCCTGCTGAGAATGATAGGCACACAGGTGCTACGGAGATAGATTAAACCAAAAAGCAATGCAATAGGCCAGGTACGGTGGCTCAAGCCTGTAATTCCAGCACTTTGGGAGGCTGAGGCAGGTGTATTACCTGAAGTCAAGAGTTCAAGACCATCCTGGCCAACATGGTGAAACCCCATCTCTACTAAAAATACAGAAACGCCAGGCATTGTGGTGTGCGCCTATAGTCCCAGCTACTCAAGAGGCTGAGGCAGGAGAATTGCTTGAACTGGGGAGGTGGAGGTTGAGCTGAGATTGCGCCATTGCACTCCAGCCTGGGCAACAAGAGGGAAATTCCATCACACACACAAACACACAAGTAATGCAATATATTGCATAAGTGGTTTCAGAAGGAAAATTTTAGTTTTGAAACAGTTTCTCACTTACTAGCTGTGTGAGTTTAAACAAAGAATTTGACCTCTTTGAAACTCAGTTTCCTCGTTTGTAAAATGAAATTAATAATACCCAGCCTTAAAGCTGTAAAGACTGAATCAGCTAAGTTTATGAACCACTGAGTCTGGTCCTGGCACACAGCAAGTGGTAAGTAAATGCCAGCTGTTGCTGCTTATTATAATTATTAGTAATATTAATAAAAGGGCTATGTAAAACTTAAAGGATCTTTTCTCTTTTCCAAACCACAAAGTAACCTCAAACATATTTCTAAGATAAATTACACAGAATTTTTCACATTATGCAAAGACGTTGGGACTTCAGAAAGCATTCCAGGCTATGAATTTAGCCAAATCTGAGTCTGTTGGCCTAGATTCTCTTTTCATCAGATTGCTTGTCCCTGGCCAGGTGGTGATACGCAGGCACCCCCTCGTCTACGTCGTGAAGCTGCTGATTCCCAGCATCTTTCTCATGCTGGTGGACCTGGGGAGCTTCTACCTGCCACTCAACTGCCGAGCCAGGATTGTGTTCAAGACCAGTGTGCTGGTGGGCTACACTGTCTTCAGGGTCAACATGTCCAACCAGGTGCCACGGAGTGCAGGGAGCACCCCTCTGATTGGTAAGCAGTCTCGGGGTCACTGGACACTCATCTTATGTGACCCCTGTCAAAGATCTGATGCTGGCCAGGCGCAGTGGCTCACGCCTATAATATCAACACTTTGGGAGGCCAAGGCGAGAGGATCACTTGCTCAGGAGTCCAAGACCAGCCTAGGCAACATAGTGAGACCTTACCTTTGCTAAGAATTTAAAAAATCAACGGGGCATTCAGTGTGTACTCACTGCAACCTCCACCCCCTGGGCTCAAGCAATTCTCCTGCCTCAGCCTCCTGAGTAGCTGGGATTACAGGCATGCACCACCACGCCCAGCTAATTTTTGGATTTTCAGTAGAGACAAGGTTTTACCATGTTGGCCAGGCTGGTCTGGAACTCCTGACGTCAGGCGATCAGCCCACCTTGGCCTCCCAAAGTGCTGGGACTACAGGTGTGAGCCACCACACCTGGCCTCTTTGTTTGTAACCCCAATTTCAACCAATTACCCAAAGTGAGGCATTGATTTCAGCTTTTCGGGAAGCTGAGGCAGGAGCATTGCTTGAGCCTAAAAGTTTGAGTCTGCAGTGAGCTATGATCCCACCAGTGCACTCCAGCTGGGTAACAGAGCAAGACCCTGTCTCAAAAAAAAGAAGGAAAGAGAGGGGAGGGGAGGGGAGGGGAGGGGAGGTAGAGGAGGGAAGGGATGGGGAGGGAAGGGGAGAGGGCCAGGTGCAGTGGCTCATACCCGTAATCACAACACTTTGAGAGGCTGAGGTGGGAGGATTGCTTGAATGCAAGAGTTCAAGACTACATAGTGAGGCCTTGTCTCTACAAAAAAAAAAAAAAAATTTAGCCTAGTGTGGTGGTGTGTGCCTGTAGTCCCAGCTATTCAGGAGGCTGAGGTAGGAGAATCACTTTAGCCCAACAGGTTAAGGCTGCAGTGAGCCATAATTGTACCACTGCACTCCAGCCTGGGCAATAGAGCAAGACCCCATCCCTAAAGGAAAAAAAATCTGATGCTACATTTTAGACTGGTGGCTAACTGCACCTGTTCTGGCTTCTCTCAGGGTACTTCTTCACGATCTGCATGGCCTTCTTGGTTCTCAGCTTAGCTAAGTCCATCGTGTTGGTCAGGTTCCTCCACAGTGAGCAGCGTGGTGGGCAGGAGCAGCCCTTCTCATGCCTCCGAGGGGACACCAATGCTGACGGGCCTAGAGTGAAAGCCAGGGCCCAGGGTGCTGCGGTAACAGGTGCGTCAGGAGCCTTGTGTTTCTCCCCTGTCTGGCTTGATCACCTTCAAAATTCATTCCCATAGTGATGTACTAGGTATTACGTTGGCCTATGTGAAAACTCTGAAACAGCTGCTGCTTAGCCTGGGTGTGGCATTTTATGTGCTCTCTCTGGAGACTGAAGGATGTCTCCTGCTGGCTTTCTAGAAAGTCTCATTTTGTTGTTTTTTGGTTTGTTTTGGTTTGGTTTTTTGAGACAGGGTTTCACCATGTTGCCCAGGCTGGTCTTGAACTCCTGTGCTCAGGCGATCTTTCCTCCTTAGCCTCCCAAAGTGCTGAGATTGCTGGTGTGAGCCACTGCGCTCAGCTGAAAGCCTAATTTTGGCTTGAAGGTCAGGCCCTCTGTTGCTCTGTTTTGATGGAGTCTTGCTCTGTTGCCCAGGCTTGAGTGCAGTGGTGCGATCTCAGCTCACCGCAGCCTCTGCCTCTCAGGCTCAAGCTACTCTCCTGCCTCAGCCTCCCGAGTAGCCAGGACTATAGGCATGCTCCACCGTTTCTGACTAATTTTTGTATTTTTAGTAGAGACAGGGTTTCACCATGTTGCCCAAGCTAGTCTCAAACTCATGACCTCAGGTGATCCCACCTCAGCCTCCCAGAGCTGGGACTACCGATGTGAGCCACAGTGCTTGAATTGTTTTTTTTTATCCCCAATTTCAACCAATTACCCAAAGTGACTGAGCCATTGATTTCAGCATAGTAAAGTGCTGGCTTGTACATGCACACACACACACACACACACACGCACACACACGCGGAACTCGTGTACATTTAGTTTCTTGTTGCTTAATGTGAACAAGTATAAGAATCATCCCAGCCCCTAAAGCTCCTACTGAGTCCATTTGGGCTGACGTCTGGTGGAGAAAATCTCCTGAACGGATCTAGCACACATACACCCTGGTTATATAATACAGCTATGATGTGTTCTCTGAGGCTTCCTGCAGTATAGCCTTGCCTCCCCTAATCCGGTGGGGAGAGTACTCAACCCAAACCCAACCCACTGCTCAGTTCCACCCACAACTTTCCTTGAAGGATGAGGCCATCGGCTTCATGAGAAAGTCCAGGTGGGTCTTGGTAGTCCCTGGCTCACCCCGGGTGTTTTCCTCCATCACACAGAGTCCTCACTCTATGGAGAGCACCTGGCCCAGTCAGGGTCCCTGAAGGAAGTCTGGGCACAGCTTCGATCTATCAGCAACTACCTCCAAACTCAGGAGCAAACAGACCAACAGGAGGTAGAGTGGCTGGAGCTCCTGTGCCGCTTTGACCAACTACTCTTCCGAAGCTACGTTTTCATGCTGGGGCTCTACACCATCACTCTGTGCTCCCTCTGGGCACTGTGGGGTAGCGTGTGAAGACTGAAGTGTTCTGATCTCAACAATTGTGCTGTCACTTAAGGGAGAGAGGAGGGGAGTAACAGTGGGTGAAAAAGCTTTCTGGGTGGAATGTGGTGGCTCTTGTCTATAGTCCCAGTGCTTTGGGAGGCCCCGGCAGGAGGATGGAGATTGCTTGAGTCTAGGAGTTTGAGACAAGCCTGGGCAACATCGTGAGACCCATCTCCACCAATACATAAATAAATAGCTGGGTATAGTGGCTCATGCCTGTAGTCTCAGCTACTTGGGAGGTTGAGGTGGGAGGATTTCTTGAGCTCAGGGTTTCAAGGTTGCAGTGAGCCATGATTGCACCACTGCACTCCAGGCTGGGTGACAGAGCAAGATCCTGTCTCAAAAAAATAAAATAAAAAGCTATCCGTCTTCATTGCCTCTCCATTGAGTCCAGGTTCATATATCTAATAGTCTGCTATGTGACCCAAGAATCATGCATTCATGATGAAAATGTATAAACAGTATGAGGTATACAGTGAAAAAGTAAACCTCCCTTCTTATCCAGTCCACTCACCCAAAGTAACCACTGTTAGTAATTTCTTTCAGAAAATGTCTAGGCACGCACATGCATATAGGTATGCTTAAGCAGTTTTTTTTTAAGTGTAAGATGGTGCCATCTTCCAGCCCTGCCTTGGCCATTTATTCAGTCACTCATTCAACAAAACCTTTACTGAGTATTGATTAAGTCCTAGGCATTATGTTAGGCACACCAGAGAATTCTAAATAAGTCAGCACAGATTATTACTCACTTGATTTGATTCCCATGGTCAACCTGGTACCAACCAATGAGAGCATAAAACTCCTGCCATGGCCGGGCGCAGGGGCTCACGCCTGTAATACCAGCACTTTGGGAGGCCAAGGCAGGTGGATCATTTGTGGTCAGGAGTTCGAGACCAGCCTGGCCAACATGGTGAAACCCCATCTCTACTAAAAATACAAAAATTAGCTGGGTATGGTGGCACACACCTGTAATCTCAGCTGCTCGGGAGGTTGAGGCAGGAGAATTGCTTGAATCCGGGAGGTCGAGATTGCAGTGAGCTGAGATTGTGCCACTGCACTCAAACCTGGGCGACAGAGCCAGATTCCATCTCAAAAAAATAAAATAAAATAATAAACTTCTTGCCATATCCCTCACCTTTTGAGGCTCTTGTTACCACTTCCCAGCTAAGTCCACTACTGCCACCCTCTTCCTGTGCCTCTTCAGCAGCTGTGTATCCCCACCGGAGAGAACCCCGGTGCCAAGGCTTCTAAGCGTAGTCTAGCACATCATTTGGTTCACATGCCAGGGGAAATGCACGGGGTGGGAGGACAGGCATAGCCCATGGTCCTTTGGTTCAAGGAAGTTATAATCCACTGTCCCTGAACTAGTCAGCTAGTGTTGCCACAATAAAATATTACACACTAAGTGGCTTTAAGAGAGATTTATTTTCTCACCAGTTGGGAAGCTGGAAGCCCAAGATCAAAGTGCCAACACGTGGGTTTTTTCTGAGCCCTCTCCTTGGCTTGCAGGCTGCTGTTTTCTTGCTGTTTTCACATGACCTTTCCTCTGTGCCTGCTCATCTCTGTGTCCAGATTTCCTCCTCTAACAAGGGCACCAGTCATGTTGGCTTAGGGTCCATCCTAGTGACCTCTCTAAACGTTCATTATTTTTTCAAGGCCCTACGTTCAAACACAGTCATATTCGGAGGTACTGAGGGTTAGGATGTCAACATATGAATTTTGGGGTGGTGGGCAGCAGACAGAGCAGACACATTTCAACCTGTAACATTCATGTGATTCTGGAGGTTTAGCAAGTCCAGAATCTGCAGAATAGGCTGGCAGGCTGGAGACCTGGAGAAGAGTTGCAGTTTGAGACCAAAAGTGGCAGAATTTCCTCTTCTTCCAGGAAGGTGAGTCTTTTTCTAATAAGGCCTTCAACTGATTGGATGAGGCCCACCCACACCATAGCCAGTAATCTGCTCTACTCAAAGTCTACTGATTTAAGTGTTAATCTCGTCTAAAAATTACCTTCCCAGAAACATATAGAGTTTGACTAAAGATCTGTGTACCATGGTCTAGCTATATTGACACATAAAATTAACCACTATGGTCCTGATGGCCCCTTAGCTTCCCATCTATGTCCACAGACCCATCCAGAACAGAAGAGCCTGGTCACCTGGCACTTGGGTAACTAATCAACTTCCAGCCCATACTCTCCTGTAGTCAAATACATATTGATTAGCCGACCTGTGGCCTCATAACCTGAATCCTAAGATTAGAATTCAACTCTTCCACAAAATAGCCTTCATTTTGTATTTGACTTTTTTTTTTTTTTTGCCTCTTGCATTGTTTTCTATCACAGAGTCTTCAATCCAGCCAAGCCAACCCACTTGCTATCCTCCTCAGGAAGGGGTTTATTTCTATCTAAGCTTCTGCTTCTATCTGATACATTCTTCTGCTGCTTCGCCAATCTGTATTTCAACTCTGCCCTAGAGCCCTGCTCAAAACAGCCTTCTTCCCCACAGCCTTTTCACCAGATCACCCCGACTCCCCCCATCTCCACCTTTAGTCTTACCTTACCCCTTATATCCTTCTCCCTTTGAATGTTTTATGCCCGTGTGTGTGTGTGTGTGTGTGTGTGTCATATCGACGACACACTCCTAGAATAGTTATCCTATTTTCTCCTTTTGGTTTAATGCCCCATCTATGCCCAGGATCATAAAGAGTGTTATATCATATGGTGATTCTGCAATAACTAGAATGAGCCGGGAGACTCATTCTAGATCACTGCTGATAGTGGACACGTATCTAGTGTGTTTTCCCGAGTCTGAGAGGCAAAATCGATCCAAGGTCAGACCCCCAGTCTCTGGGCATTCCCCTCTCCCTCATCTGGTGCCATCATCTAAAGGTCGATGGGTAGAACATCGACTGTGTGATAGTCATCAGTCCTAATGCTGTCAGCAGAGGACACAAAAGTCCAAAAGCTGTTTGCGAGAAACTTTTTCCAGCACTAAAATTGCCTTAAAAAAAAATCTGCCCCCTCCATCCCCCCGAAGAAAAAGAATTTAAATTCAAACAGCCTTTACCTGCATCCTCCCTCTCTCATTACCTCCCAGTTAGTGCTCAGCGCCAATTGCCCATGAAATTCCACTGCTGCTGTTAATGAAATGAGGAACATAAGAAGTTTGTGAACAGGAAGTGTCCATGCAAACCTCCACCTGTTTCCTTCCTCACTTCCTACTTTCTGCTGCTGCCTCCTCTGCTTTGATGTGCCCAGTTAGGCATCACGGTCCTGATGGCCCCTTAGCTTCCCATCCATATCTATTCTGGCTTTCTGTACTTCCTCCTCCAGTTAACGGAGCAAAGGAGGAAAAGGCCTGCAGTGAACTCATCACTGCGGGGTCTCTCTCCTTCCCAACTATGTCTTGGAGAAAGCACCAGTGTAAAAGTCAGGATTCCTGACGATTATGGTCCTGGCTCTGTCATTATTTGGCCAAGGGACCTCCATGAGCCTAACTTCTCAGACCTCAACTTACTTTATTTGAAACTGGGGCTGATTATGTTTGTTTTACCTGCTATCACAGAGTTATGAGGATCAACATGAAAGAATGTATTGAATAGTGCTCTGAAAAGTCAATAATGCATGACGAAATAAAGGTAAGACCTGCTTGCCATCAACAGATGGACTCAGTCTTGAGTTTTTGGTGCAGGATCTGATTTCCAGCTCCCTCCTTCAGAATCCAGTCATGGGTTCTGGTTCTCCCCCAGTGGTACCACTATTATAGGATGCAAAGGGCAAGGCTGAAGCCATTACATGCCTCCTTACAGAGAAATTGTGTATCAGGGGTTGCCAAAGGGACTTCCCATTCCATCTCACATGCAGCTCACCTTTGTTCCATTCTGATGACATTGCCCAGATTCTTTCCATCAGCCTCTAAGAAGCAGCCCTTTCAGAGTGAAGCCTAGCCACCAAGCTGGTCCCAGTGTGCCCTTCCTCTGTCTAGTGCCAAATGGCCTTAATCTCACCTGCAACCCAGAACTCATTCAAAGCCCCAGAGTCACGTCTACATTCTGAAAGAATGACATCGTAAACTAAAAATAAAATTCTAAGGGCCTTCTGGTCATCCAAATGGACTCCATCCTCTCAGTGCGGACACCCCAAAGTTAACCTGAAAGGCTGCTTCAGGCAATGTTGAAAGGGGGTGTCAGACATGCCTCATGATGCTCTCCCTTTTAGAATTCAGGAAATGTTGACCAGCATCAGCATAAACATCAACATGGATCTTAAGTCTGATAAGAAACATTTACAATCTGTACTCTCTGAAGCCTGCTACCTGGAAGCTTCATCTGCATGATAAAACTTTGGTCTCCACAACCTCTTATTGTAATCCAGACATTTCTTGGTATTGATAATAACTCTTTGAAACAATTGACAATCAGAAAAAGATTAAATCTACTTATGATCTGGAACCCCCTGTCCTACTGGCTTTGAGTAGTCCCACCTTTCTGGATGGAACCAATATATATCTTAAATGTATTTGACTGATGTCACATGTCTACCTGAAATGCACAAACCAAGCTGTGCCCTGACTACCTTGGGCTCATGTTCTTGTAAGTTCTTTTAGGCTGACTGACCACACCATGGACAGCATGGTAACCTCTGTGGCTGCACATACACTCCAGAGAGTTCCTGGAACTAAAGTCTGAAGTAACTGGAAGACCACAAAAAGGGGAAGAATGATCAACCCCTGCGGTGCCTAATTAACTTTTTGCGACATTCTCTTATTGTTCCTTATTCCCTCCTCAACTGATAAGGCAATTGGACTTTGTAACTGACCTTGGTCGACCTCATGACTCCAGACCCTATGACCCCCTCTCAGCTTGCAAAAACCACCCTGAACTGTAACTTCTGTAACTTTCCACTGCCTACCCCAAACCTACAAAACCAACTGCTATCCCATGGCCCTGTGCTGACTCTGTTTTTGGACTCAGGCTGCCTGCACCTGGGTGAATAAACAGCCATGTTGCTCACACAAAGCCTGTTTGGAGCATCTCTTCATTCAGAGCGTGCATTTAACAGTTCTCCAGGTCTCCTGGGGGCTGGGTCACTGGCCATGGTCTCTCATATTTGGCTCAGAATACATCTCTTCCAATATTTTACAGAGTTTGACTCTTTTCTTCAACAACATCATGAACAAATGGCGCTACAGACCTCTTCCTGGAATAGTGTCCCTCTGTGGTGGGAGGAATATGGGGTGCCAGCAGCCCTTATTTGCAGAGCAGCTTTAGCTCAGCCCCTCCAAATGTTCATACATTTCATGATTCCTGTTTCATAGAGAAAGGAAACTGAGGAACAGAGCAAAAATGGGATTCTCCCAGCTGTGAACGCGCCTA